CCAAACAAACAAACAAATGAAACAAACAAACCCCTACAAAACACTTTATCTTCAAAGCAAGGGGTAAATAAGATCCACTCAGCTAAATTGTGTTTTGCTTAAGGAATATAGACTGACTTGTGGGTGGATCCCCCTGGCCCCCAGTTAAGTCCAAGTGAAAATCCTATTGAGAAAGTTCCTGTAATGGATGGATTTCCAGTACACGCATAAATACTGGAACTTCCCTCAGTCTTAGCAGTGGTTGATGAAAATTACCATTCCGAAACAGCTAAATTCTCATTTCTATTGAATCTTGTATTCATTAATTCCTAGAAAGTGATGTGTATCTTTTGCAGATCATGAACAGAAACTTTCTAAAAGGCTAGCATGTGTCCTGGAAAAACAAGGAGAAAAAGCTAATAGCTTTTCTGTAATGCTACTACAGCTAAAGCATTGAAACTCATGTTTACTGCCAATATTGAAAGAGTTTATGTAAATTTTGTACTATTTTGTTATTATACCAGAGCTCTAGTTCTGTTTTAATGAATTTGCCTAAATAACAGTTGACATTTTCCCCATTTTACAAAGCAACGTGGAAAGGCCACAAAGGAACAATCACTTCCCCTGAGAATCATTTTAGTGTTTTAGATTTTCGTTTTGAAAAGGAAATATATTCTGACATGATTTTTTCTGTTATTGAAATGACTGCATACTGTTACCCCGCTTCACACTTTGTCTTCTGGATAACTTTCAAAGATGAAATTTCAAGGTGCAGATGAAGGTGATGATGTTGTTGTTGCTGGAGCTTAGAAATAAAAAAAGGGTGAGCCCTTTCTCTGAAGGTGTTTGTAGCACCTCAGTAGCTGTCTCTGACAGCAGATGATCCTCTTTTTGAAGGTGCTAACACTTTTTACTTGTAGAATTTAAGGTACTAAGGTGAAGGGAGGGTTGGAATATGTTTTTTCCAGCCTATGCTGAGCTAAAATAGAGACCTGCCATATCCTAATCTGAATTCCTTTCCTTCTAGTTAATAATTGTAGTGATAATATTTGAATAATTTGATGTTCCATAGAAATCCTAATTCTTTAGCTTTGTGTTGTAGTCTTCAGCAGTAAATGGTGGTAAAAGGTATTTAAAGACTTTTAAGCAGGAGGAAGAGCAGCCTGTAACACAGATGCAGTAGAACAGGCATGAAGAAATGTGCCATATAATGCTTTGTATGGCAAGGATGTGGTTTCACTGTGATTACTTGATGATTGGACAGTTTCTTGCCATGGTGCCATGGTTGCATTCCTTCAATTCTGGTATTTCAGGCACTTGCCAAGATGCTGTAAACTGAATCAATGGAAGGAACAATAAAACTAAAAACAGAACAAAACAAAAAATAGGGAAAAAAACCTGCACAAAACTACCCCCAGCCCCCCCATTTCTCTTGATAAACCTGCCACACACAGGACAGACTAAGATAACAAAGAAACCTCTTTAATTTCATTTTAAGATGGAGGGACAGAATGAAATCAATATTCCCAGTTCATTTTGTTGTCCAGCAGCATACCTTTGTATTATAGCTATTGGGTAGAGAGTAGTACGGTTTTGAATTTCTTGAGCCCCTGCCTAATGCTTCAAACAGAAGCTCCAGGTGCATAATTCCTACTTTCTTGAGTGGTGGTCAAGTTTTATCTTCCTCTAGTCTCTCTGTTTCAGTGGTTCTGAAACTGAATCCTATTTACATACATATATGACTTCTTTCCATAAGTCATTGTTAGTGGCCATCCTTAGTTGTCCAGTCGGAAAATATATTTAATTTTTTTCTTAACTCTAGCAGAACTACTTCTAGAAATTTGAAATCTTAAAGGTTGCCTGATTGCCTAGAGAGCTGTTCATGGTCTGCAAATATTTTTCTATACCTCCATAAATGTTCAAGTTCTTTCCCATCCATTGTTTCCATGTTTGGTTTCAGAACTCCTTCTGCGTGATTTTTTTTTTTTCTTGAATGCAATTTAGGCCTGTTTGAACAGATCTTAAAAAACGTATAAAGTATGGTAGGTATTGAAACATGAAGTTACCACTTAATTCTGACCTGTTCTTTTAAACAACTATGCCCTTAATTATTTATAGTACCTTGCATAATGTTAATCACAGTATAATTTGGGGATGGAACTCCAAACCTCAAAACTCTTAATGTTTTCCTTTACTTTAGAAAATCATATTACAGAGCATACAGCTGAAAGTTATATGTTGCAATGGCAGCGAGGACATATATCAAATTACCAGTATCTTCTTCATCTCAACAATCTGGCTGATAGAAGCTGCAACGATCTCTCCCAATATCCTGTATTTCCCTGGATCATAGCAGACTACTCTAGTTCAGTATTAGGTATGTATATACAAAAAGACAAGTTAGTGCATCATGTCCAACCTGAAATGTTTTGAGGGGTTTTATACCATGTAAAGTTCATGGTACATCAAAATGAACCTGGCATTAGTGATCTTAGATGTTTTCTTGTGCACTCACCCTTACTCTGGAGTTTAGTGGACAAAATATCTCACCTTTTCTCTTAAATATTTCACTCTTCACATGCAGAGTATGTACCAAGCATCTGCTTGGTCACTTTGAAAATCTGCGGTACTGAGCATTCAAACACTTTCTGTGATTCTAATAAATGCAAAAGAACCAGTAAAATGGCTTTTTATGGAACAAGTTGGATGCATTGAAATGTGTAGAATCCGGGTGTTCTTTTACAGTTCTTAGCATTGCAAGTTGAAAGGAAGAGGCTAACAAGGCTTGTGCCTAAATAGGCTCCTTGATTAAGGGTCTTTGTGGAATTTGTCTTGGAAGCTTGTCCTTTTGAGGATTGTGTCCCTCTACAAGGAGTAGAGTAGGGGAATCTCATGCTATTCATCAGCACCCGCTCAAACACTCCAACCTGATTGTTCGGTAGAACTTAACTGTAGCCTGAAAGAATAGTTAATGAGTAGCAGGAAGACGATGCCAGCTGCTTTTGTGCCTCAGGTAGCAGGACTTGTATTGACTAGGTGATGTTGGTTAAAATAGCGGTCACGTATATGTAACTACTAGCTCTTAAGCAAGAGATATGAGATTACATCTACTTGGAAGGAAGAAGATGAGTTGCTATTTACAGTAAGACTTTATTCTTTTGCAGTTAGGGAGCAGAGAAAATGACTGGAGGGGTTCTGTGTTGTTTTTTGTTTGTTTTGTTGCTGTTTGGGTTTTGTTTTGATTTTAAATATTGATTAGAGTACATTCCTGTCTAGTAGAATCAATGCATAGAGTCTAACGATGTTTTTTTAGATCTGACAAAGCCTGAAACGTTCCGTGACCTTAGTAAGCCAATTGGTGCCCTGAATAAGGAAAGGCTGGATAGATTATTGGTATGTATATCTTGGCTTTTATGTACTACACGTTTTGGGCCTTGTACACATTGGCAATAAAAGGAGCTTTGTCAAGCAAGCTTTGGGAATTATGTAGATGTCTAAAACTAACTATAAACCATATCAGAAGCAAGCTTACGTATAAACATACCACATTTATTTTCAGCTTGATTTCATCAGTACTGATTTTGTCAGTACTAATTTAAAATTATTTGAATCTGTTTCCTCTCTCCTACTACTGTTTCATATGTTTCATATGTATATGCTTTTAAATGTTTTACCTCACTTTTAAAATAAAATCCCCAAATGCATTTAATGATTGTAACTGCATTTGTATGGCAGGCACTGAGATACTATAAACATATATGGAGATAGAAACTTCAAGTCCAATGGATTTAAATGGGTAGTGTAAGATACGTGCATGAATTAAACAAAACAAAATAGTAGAAATCTTAAGTACTTCCATTTGAGAAAAATGCTGAATTTGAGGGAGAGTACTTCAAAGAGAGGAAATCTGGATCCATGGGGATCAGAGCACCAACCTGAAATTTCCACATGCAGATGATAGTACACAAACTTTTTCCATTTCTCAAAGTAGGCAGGCTTTCTTTTCATAAGCAGTCAAACACATAGTTACAGGCTTAGAAGGTCCTCAGTTTCTTGGCTTTTAATTCTTTGTGTAAAATCATTGTCTCCTGTGGTAAGTTAATTATTCTAAAATAATTTACAGAACATAACTATATTTAATGTCTTGGAACCTTTATTAGTTCTTAATGAAGCATTAGGAAAAAAAAAATATTGCCAGACTAACTGCCTTATATTGACAAAAAAATTTAAGTATTTCAAAATCATAAAGCTTCCTAAAGTTGTGGAGGGTAAGAACATGATCAATATTATGCTTTCAGTAACAGTAAATGAAGTTTTCTTTGTAAGATCTGACTGTTTCCTCAAACTGTTAGCTGCCTCATACTTATTGCAGTAAAAGTCATTTTATTTAGATTATGATAGATTTTAGGGGTAACGCATTGGAGTTTAAGATAGGAGGGAATCCTCCAGGTTGAATTAAGTCAATATGTTCTTCCATACTCTCATGAAACTTCACGTGAAAGACAAAAAGGAAGTCTTTGTTTGCACTCCTTTGAAGTTGAGTCACTGCAGTTACGTGTGAAAGTGAGAGAAGAGAAAAAGCTGAAAACTTGATAATTCTGGATGATAAGTTATAACAACTTTTTTGCCTTATTGATTTACTGATCTGATTAAAGCTGCATGGTTAATAGAACTTAGAGTTTGTTTTATTGTTAGAAAAAAAAATCGAAGGTAGTCCTAATCTGTCTTAAAAAAAAAATAGTGTGTATGTGTTCAATACTGAAGGAAAGCAGGAGTGCTGATTTTAAACAGACCTCTCTTTCTTCTTCATATGTTGCAGACACGTTATCAGGAAATGCCAGAGCCTAAGTTCATGTATGGGAGTCATTATTCATCTCCGGGTTATGTTTTGTTTTATCTCGTTAGAGTTGGTAAGACATCTTTACATGCTCTCTGAGCAGATAATTACCTCCAAAGTGGACAAGGTTTGGAGCAAGCTGATGATTTTTTTCTTTCTGCTTAGCTCCAGAATACATGCTCTGTCTGCAGAATGGAAAGTTTGATCACGCTGACAGAATGTTCAACAGGTTTGTTTACATTTTGTCTATAACTAGGTTGGTTTTGTTTTCAAATATGCATCAAGGGAGTGCAAAGCCTTAAAAATATTTTGTTAACAAATGCGTGATTGATATGTGTTATCTAGTCTTGCAGAAACCTGGAAAAACTGTTTGGATGGTGCAACAGATTTCAAAGAGGTAAATGGCTGGAAAATTATTCAAGTCCTTCTTGGTATCTGTGCTGAGCTTTCTGTTCTCAGATGTCTCTTGTTTAGATTTGAGAGTTTTGGGGTGGGGATGAGGTGTGTTTGGTTGGTTTTTTGCTTTGTTGTTTGTGGGTTTTAGTTGTGTGGGTTTTTTTTAAGGCTGTTGACTGCATTTTATGAATCCTTTAACGTTTTTAACTTCTTCCTTCACACTAATTCCGTGATTGCCTGTCTGTGTCTGGCTTTTAGTTTAACAGAATTGTCATTGTGAATGTTATTGGAATAAGTGGGAATTACCAGAGTGGATTAAGGCTGAAAAGACGCGATTTTATGTATCGTCTGCTGGAATCTTGTAAGGATTTGGCTATATTACAGCAGTACATCTGGAGAGGTTAAACTATAGAAGTTTTATCTTAGTTTTTTGCGCCTTACAAAAACTTGTAGAATATGTTGAGAACGATTAAGTGCCAGATAGTGGGTGCTGTTAAATAACGTTTCTTTGTCAAGTTTAATATAGTTTTTAAGAAAAGAAGTCTATACTTAATAGTAATGGAATTAAGGTTGGTTAGCTGTGGTGGTCTTTAAATAATTGACTCGACCTCTGAAACTTTTGTCATCGTTCTAGTTTTATTCTAGATTTTTGTCTTGACTCTTACCTGATGTCTTAAAATGAGAGTTCTGAAAATATTTTTAGGTATTATGGATTTGTATGTCAAACATTACATGTTAAAAATATTTATGCCACTCTGAATTTAGGTCAGAGAATTGCCTTGTAGGTAGTCAAGAAGCCTAAAAGTAGTTGGAAGGATAATGGGAGGAAGTTTCCAGTGCTTCTTTACTGACAGAGAAGAAAGCTTGGAAAAATTACTACCCAACTTTAGGGCTTGACATATGAACTTTGATAATTTGCAGTTTTTACTGACTGTATTGTACTGATCACTTACGTGATCAAAGCTAAGCTAGCCTCAAAATTTTCTTTTTTTTTTCTTTTTCTTTTTTTTTTTTTAGTTGATTCCAGAATTTTATGAAAATGATTCTAGTTTTCTAGTAAACAGTTTGAAGTTGGACTTGGGAAAAAGACAGGGTGGAAAGATGGTTGAAGATGTAGAGCTTCCCCCTTGGGCATCAGGTAATAATAGTCAAACTTCTTGTATTATGAATTGATTCAAGATTATCTAGATTACTGGGATAGTGATTCTTCTCTCAAAAATTCCCATTCTATTTTCTTCTGAGGGAATTTTTGCTTTAAAACATTGACATAGTTAATAGTTGCATTTAATTTTTATAGCAAATTTGAGGTTTGGTGTGGAGTGTTGGGGGTTTTTTGTTTGGATGCTTTTTCAAGAAGGAAGAGGAACGAGATGGATACCAATACTGAATGGGATATCTTCTCCTTTAATTAACCTTTGTCTTGCCAGGTCCTGATGACTTTCTTCAGAAGAGCCAAGAGGCTTTAGAAAGTCAGTATGTATCAGAACATCTTCATGAATGGATTGACATAATATTTGGCTACAAGCAGAAAGGAAGTGAAGCAGTTGCAGCTCACAATGGTAAATATACACTTCATAGAAATAGCAAAAAAAAAAAAAAAAAGGCATGCTTTAATTAGGCAGGAATGGTAAGTAACAGCATATCTGTAATGCCTGATTTGTTTTGAGTGTTCATAACTATGCTTTGCATGCTTGATCCTTAAAGGAAATGCAGTTCTTCATTACTGGAAATAGTGTCTTATCTAGTAAAATCTATTGCCCTCATGGTGATTTGCATCTTTGAAGATGTACTTAAGATGGTAAGCAAGAAGATTCTACAGCATGGCTGTTATTTGCTCGCACAACACGGTGTGGCAATGTGATATGGAAGTAGTGTTTCCCAATTAAAAATGGGAGTCTGTAGGGTCTCCACACAAACATGTATTTAACTTTGCTACACTGTAATTGCAGTGTGAGAATTTCAATGCAATTTTCTCCCCTCTTCCTGAGAGAATTGGCAAGGGAAAGAAGGGGCTAATAGGCTATAGCTCTTTAGGAGCAAGAATGAAGGAAAAAGTACGCAGGTAACTAGGTTTGTCATTGTGTACATATATACTACTGCAGTAGTATATATACCTTTTACTGTACATATAGAAAGTTTCACTGTTTGCAATCTTATTCTGAGCATGTATGTAGCCATTGTAAATGCTTACAAAAGGGGATGTTGTTATGAGATTGATATGGTGATGTGTTTAATTTAATTTATCTAATAGCAATATCAATGTTTAACTTATTCAGCAGTCTGATATTTAGCTGTGTATGTTACTACCTAATAGGGAAATGTCCTCTTGGTAAAGGAAGATTAGCAGATCAGATTTATAGGGTATTTATTCCAGAAGCCCCGATCCTTTTGAAGGATTACAAGTAACAGACAATGTTGAGGTAGTTTGCACTTAACAAGATAGAATAAGTTTAAGAAGAAAACCTTCCTACGACAGTGGGGAGGAAAGGAATAAGCAACTCTTCATTTTGGTAGTCAGTGCTTTCTACTTCCAGGGTAAGATAATGTGATTTGTTTCGTGGTGGTTTGTCCTTTTTTTCTGTTTTTTTGTTGTTATTGGGTTTTTTTTAATATGCTTCCCCACATGTCCTTAAATCATGATTGGCTGTATTTTAAGTTTGCAGGGTTTGGCATCCAGTCATACTGTGACCATAAGTGTCAATTACAATGTGCCAGAGGCTTTGAATATGGTAAATCGGCATTTAAATTATAGCACCTATATTTTTACCTCTCAAATGAGAGCCCTTTTTATGCACAATGTGCTTCTGCTGCTGCAGTGTGGATTTTTATTAGTGTAGTGAATTGCAGACACTTGAGTAGATAAGAGAGACGGAAGGGATCTGTGTATGAATGAACTTACGTCAAAAGAGAAAGTATTCTTATACAGAGGCCCCAAAGTAATTCACTGTGTAATTGCTATCCTCATAGCAAATGAACAGGTGAATAGGTAGACTTTTATGATCCTTTTTTTACTACATTTTATTACCTGTCTAGAAAACAACCAGAGATCCAGTTCTGCAACTGTGCTTTTTTTAATTTCTTTGTTGGGTGTAGGGGGATATTTAATGAAGCTTAAATAAGTCATCCTTCCTTTATGAAAGGACTGACTTCTTCTGAAACTTTCTCCGAGTCTCTTAGAAATCCTAAACTTTTTTCAGGTAAGAAACCCAAGATTAAAACACAAGATCTCAAACTCTAGAGTTGGAATAGCTTAGTTGCCCAAATATAAGCAAGTTGAGTAAAAAATACAACTATTTTTTTATAGTAAATATGCAAGACAAAGAAAATGAGCCTTGTGTATCTATATTGTACAAATAAACTTCTTTTTTTCCAGTGTTTCACCCATTAACTTATGAAGGAGGAGTGGATTTAAACAGGTAATTAACAAGAATCAGAATGTTTTTGTTAAAACAGTTAGCTAAATTTCAGAACCTCCAGGTTCTCCGCTGGCTGTAAAAGTGCTCTGTATGTGAATGGTGTAGCTCTTCCATTTTAGACTCCCAAATATGCAGAGAACGAGCATGAGGTTCTCAGTTTTAGCATGCATTGAAGGATTGTTACTTGAACGTTTCTTCAGTCTGGCTTTTGTGAAATTGCTGTATGTTTTTAATTGACGAGCATACTGTCATCATACATAAGCAAAATTATGAAGCTGTCATATGACTGTCCATGATATCTGTGGTAAATCTGTTCTGTAAGAATTTATGATGGCCTATAGTGCTGTAGTAACTGCACATGCAGGCCCATACTTTTAGGGGAGGGGAGGAAAAAACAGTACTTGCCTACTTGGCTTAATTAAATATCTTGTTTTTGTAAAGTATTATGGACCCCAATGAAAAAGTAGCTCTGCTGACACAAATCTTGGAGTTTGGACAGACGCCAAAACAGTTGTTTACAGTTCCTCATCCCCGAAGGATAATACCAAAGTTGAAAAGCTTGTCTCGAACATCTAGTCACAGTGTTTCCATAACTGAGTCTCCAGGTAAATGTGTAACAGATAAACTGATGATGTAACCGATTTGTAATTTTGAGAAGTTCTGTATCTTTCTCCCACAGGTTCTCATTATACAACTCTCTTGGCCACTTTCCCTGTAAGCCAACTCAAAATAAATCCATGTACTAACTGTTACAGAAAAACTGGCAAGACCAGTTTCAAAATTGAAAATACAGGCGTTGTCCTGCGTTTTGCCTTCTGTTCCAGTGGTCTTCTCTAGGACTGTTCAACGTCTGCTTTTGAAGCTGTGGGAGGGCTATCATCCCTGGCCTTTCATGACACTTCAAAATCAAGCTGGTGTGACAGCAGCTTCAGTGACCATATCTGCAGGCATTCTAAATGTAAAGATTTGTTCAGTTTTTGAACAGGGATGTCTTTGGGGTGATGGATTGGCTTGCTCTAAATAAACCCTAAGAACTTAAATTAAGCATCCAAATTTTTTTCCTTTTCCATGACTTTAATGAAAATCTGTAAAGAAATTA